GCTGGAGGGTTCCCAGGGGTGGGGAGTGCCTGATGAAACAAGGCAGCCATTTCATGGTCAACACGCAGCGCCATGATGCTACACTTATCTTCAGGCACCAGCTACGCAAACGTCAAGTCATTACGGCGGATTAGTGGGAGGCGGAGGAGAGGTTAGGCGCTGTGCAAAACGAGCCGGGGTCAGGCGTGTGGTTCTGGCTACGGGAGCGTAGAAAGATAGGGGGTCTGCAGGTAGAAGGTAAAGGTTATCAAACCGGGTCATATTTGAGGCTTTTGTTTAAAGCCACTTCCATCAAATCCAAGATGTAAGTTTGAACACTCTGAGGGAGTGTTGTAGTGTGTCGATCAATATATCTTAGGGCAATTGGGGATAATACTTCTAATTGCCAGCATACAGCTCGCAGGCAGTCAGATGTATTAAGGCAAACAAGTCTTAGTCGGCCTTATTTATACTCAACTAAATGAAATTATGACCTAAATAATTTCTCTTGGTGAGCACAAAAATACTTTTGCTCTTGGATCAAACATTAACAATTGAATTCTTGAAGACAAAAGTGATATGCATGTTTTCTAAAATAAAAATAATAAATAACTGCAAGTCGAAAAATAGTTGATATTGTACATTTGTCCTTAATAATGTTTCAAAATGACATTCAATCCTGGAACCCGTCAGTCAGAAGCACTAAAATTGCCACCGGATGTTCAACAACCATTAACAGGTCTGTTTTCTTGACCAATTTGTGATGAGTGTGCAATCACCATAAATCATAGACTTAATATTTACAGTACATTGAAAATAACATCAGGAAAAGCTCTTAAAATACCGTGATATTACACAAACTGTCAATCGGGATTGCCCACTCCTAGTGAAATTCACATTTGGCGAACGAGGCATATTAACGTTGCAAGCGCTTCTTGCAGTTACAACTCGGAAGCTGCAATTGTAGGACGAGGCGCCGTATGGGTAACAGTCCTCTGAATGACACATTTAAGAACAAAGTGTCATTATTCAAGGCCCTGATTTGTGAGAATCCAACGTTTTAAATATCTGCGGACCCCCTGATAGGCGGCGCTGATGTAAACGATGAGTTTACGTGCCTAAGCTGCAAACGGGTCCGCCGGCCGAATGGTCGTAAAGCCTCCCTTCGCCTTTCACTACTGGGAGCGGAGGTCATCGCACTCCGAGCCCCGTTTGATGTAAATCAATTCTCCGGCCCCTTGCTCAGCTTCTCGGCGGCAATTACGCCTGGCCGAAGGCGGCGGGCGAGGACGCGCCCTCGATGGAGACGAGCACTCACCGGCTTATCGGTGAAAGGGGTCGACTCAGAGGGCGCCATGTCGTAGTAAGGCGGCTGCAGGGGAAGCTTCTGCATCTCCTCGTCTTTGTCCAGATGGACCACCTGCAGAAGGATAGGAAGCGTAATCATTGTCGGACAGCAGTGCATAATGTTCTCACATTGCGTGATATATTTTAAACACATTGTGCTGTGTAGATAATTGAATGCACTTTAAAAAAAATTGTAGCACACAGTGAACAAAATACTGTACCGTATTGTAGCGCCTTTAAAAAAATGATGCTATAAATGGCGGATTTCCGTAATGTAGTTGCTAATACTGGATATTGCATCAGGTATGAAACCTCTTTTTCCCGTCGGACAGCAGTGCATAATGTTCTAACAGTGCGTGATATTTTTTAAACACATTGTGCTGTGTAGATAACTGAATGCACTTTAAAAAAAATTGTAGCACACAGTGAACAAAATACTGTACGTATTGTAACGTCTTTAAAAAAAATGATGCTATAAATGACGGATTTTCGTAATGTAGCTGCTAATACTGGATATTGCATCAGGTATGAAACCTCTTTTTCCCATGAAGAAGTCAAATAACTTGGTTCATTGTGTAATAAACCACAAAAACGGCTATCTTAATAAGGAGAAAAATAAAACATTTTACCATCAAAACATTGACTTTGAGCATTCCAGCGTGAATCGTAAAATCTGAATACATTTTGAAAGCCTCCTTTCAAAAGTCAAATCACGATCTAACAGCATTCATTTTATCAAAACAAAAACTGCACTTGGTGTTCCGCACACAAACAGTGCACCAAAACGTCATCAAAAAAGACACACGCATGCAATCTCATGTGTGTTCAATTTTTTTCTTTTTTCTTTTTTTTTTTTTTTTTACACGTAACGTGGTTTCCTCTCAATTTTTTTTTTTTTACACGTAACGTGGTTTCCTTTCAAAGTTAACTTTGGCCCCCAAAGCGCTCCCGACGAGAATTGGGAGTCGCGGTGTTACATGTGCTCAAGGGTCTGACTTCTTTCACTCGTGTAGGTTTTATTTATTTCATTTTATTTTTTGGAGGAGAGAATCTGAACTTTGACAAGGAATTGTTTGCTTGACAGCGGTTTCAACTTTCGCCGCTCGGCTGAACTTGGCATTTGCATCAAGTTAACGGCTTGCGTGTGGCACAGGGGCATGATGCAAACGGTGGAAATAGCGAGGCGCAGATGCTGAAACAAGCGTTGGGCTTCCAGAGCGAGAAATTCAACACGCAGGGCGGCCCACCGCCTTATTAGCAAACGTCCATCCATTTTCCATCGAGCGTGTTTTCATAATGTTTTGGGATTGTGGGACAAAGCGGTTGAAATTGTTTTTGCATGACTAAACGCTGACAATGTCAACACACAATACATCATACATCATATGAAACGCTTTTCGAAATGAAAGGAGGCAAAGGGGCGGCCGTACCTGGATGTCGTCGGATGTCAAGTGCCCCTTCATGTCGCTGTTCTTCTTCTTTGGCGGCGGCGGGGCGGGCTTGTGAGCCGGCGGGAGGTCGGTCCTGTTGAGAGGGACACAGAGAGCGCAAAGACAACGTGACACTCGGGCACCGTCGGCGCCGGCCGCCCGTCACGTCCCCCTCACCTTCGACAGCACTCTGTAATGAGAAGGCCTGCCTGCACTTGCCTTTTTTTGCACTCTTTTTCCTGGGCTTTTGATAGTTCTGGACTTGGCGGCTGCGTGACGGCGGCGGCCATGTGCCCTGCCCTTTCAAAGGCTGCAGACAGACACTGTGCTAACGAGAGTGGGCTGTAATTGGACACTGAGGTGAGGGGGATGGGTATGCGAGGTAGGGGTTAGAGGGAGATATATGAGGGGGGATATAAGGGGGGCAGGGAGAAGCGCATGTGTGAGTCAGGTGCTGCGGGTCGGTCGAAACTTACTGCCGACCGACCCGTCACGCTTGCTTGACATGTCATCATCAACCTTAAGGCTGCCTCAGAGAACCGAATGGGAACCTTGAACCCTGAGGATGGTGCCAACTTCCTCTAAAGCAGCAGTCCGCAACCTTTTTTTGAACCACAGGCTGCTTTCGCGTCGAGTTATTTTCACCGACTTGACACACAAAGAAATTCCAAGAAATTTGTGACAATATGACTGACCATGAAAGTCAATGGAGTCGCCGTAATTTGTGGCACAGAACCAAATAACAAGCCAGTCCCATCTTGGGGGAGTGGGAGACAATGACACGAACTTTGTTACTCATGTCCAATCTCCTCCAAATTTTGTGTTGGTCATTGCAGAAAATCGCACGTCACTAATTTAGGATGCTTTTTGTTTGTTTGTTTGTTTGTTTGTTTTGGGGCAATCTATCACTTGTCTGCCTTGATTTTAATTCATGCTTGGCTTTGAATGCCAAGTCATCGTTCTACATGTGCAAAAAGCAGTTTTGAAGGCTTCTCTACCTCATTTCCAAGCCTGTCTGCCCTCTCATATTAGGAATGAGAATGACCTGTGGTGAGAAACCCGCATTTTTGAGGAGGGCTGCTGATATTGTCTCTTGAGAGCAGCTTTTATCATTTAAGAAGTTGTGGGTTCTTGTTTTGTGTCACTGTTTGGCCTTTTCTCCTTTCAAAAGCTGCTTTTGTCTGATTTTTTACTGGTAAACGGTAAACGGGCTTTCACTTGTCTCGCACTTTTCTACCTTAGGTATTCAAAGCGCTTTAACACTTTAACCACTGATGACACAGCTGGAGAAGCAACGTCAAGGGCTCAGGATCTTCAACATGGTCACAAGGGTTGAGGATCGAAGCCACAACCTTCGGGGTTGAGACGCGACCACTCTACCACTGAGTCATGCCAGTCTCATATTTTTGCTAGCTTGTAGCCTTAACTTAGTACTACTTGTGCAAGAGATGACGAGGGGGGGGGGGGACTAACTTGTTTTTTCTAAATAAAACTTCTTTCAGACTGATGAATTAAAAAATTGCAATCTCACACAATGCTTATGTGTCGCTGCTTTAAAGTAGAGTGACCATCGTTGGCCGGTCTTGCTTAAAATCAGGCGTCAAAACCAAGGGGTTTCCTTCAGTTCAGAAAGATCACCAGGGTCTGGCTCAATACTGCAGACTCCATCCCGCCATTGGACGGTATACATGTCCCTCGTGGTACACAATGCAAATGGCCAGTTCGTCTTCTCCAACACCACAGTTACACCAAGGAATTTAGCTCAGTTCAGATCCGATCACCACGGTCTGGGAAAACCTTGTAGCGACGCCACAGCATCGTAGGCTAGCCGTTAAGTCAATCATGACACAATGCTAACAATCGGCCAGTGATCCCACTCACACTTTAGTCTCCTCTCAAGTCATGTTTTCACCAAGGGGTTCAGTTCAGTTCAGCTCATCGAGGTATGGGTAAATCCCGTTCGGAATTCATGTTGCAATTGGCCAATGCGCGCCGTGATTGAAAATTCGAAAGTGTTTGACGTGGCCCGAGATAATTGTTTCACAACTCCGTCGCCGCCGTGAGGTTATCACACTGCCAAAACAAGTCAGAGTCACATGTCACATCCCGGCACAACATGAAGAGCCATCGCGGAGAACGAAGACGACACGCCTTGTATCCGCCATTCCTCGCCTCTCATTCGCGCTGGTTCACGTCCTGATTGAATAACATGACCTTTTCTGGCAAGGCCAAGCCGGCGTTTTAATGCGTAGAAAATGTGTGCATGAGCGCACCACTTAACTCTTTCTTTCACGCTCATTATTTCCGCTCTGACAAAAAGCCCCCCCCCACAGCATGACAGCAAGGAGAGGTAGCGATTGTCAGTTATGCTCCTTCGTTGCTCTCGTCCAAATCTACGTTTCCACCAAGGGGTTCTCTTCAGTCCAGATCACCAGGTTATTTTCTGAGGGCCGGCGGATTTTGTGCTTCGGGTCGGATGTGTTTTGATTTTATTCATGCCCGCTTCCTTGTTCTTTCGTCAGGCTGCTTCTTGAGTGGCTCAATTCCATTTCAAGTCGCAATTCACATGATTCTGGGTTTGTCGGCTTTTCCTACACACATTTTGGGCCGTAAATCTAAAATATATGTTAAATATTTCGGATTTCAAGCCCTATTATCTCACAAATCCACTTTTAACACGTACCTCAGAATGAAGTGCAATATTGAAGGCTGACTGAAATTCTTTTCTGTCTGTTCCCAAAACAAATGATCCTGGAGCCTTAATATCCTGGATGTTGCTGCTGCCGGATGCTTGAGCCTGCCCTTATCTGCCTCACCCCCTCGTTCTCCTGTGCTTGGGGTTGCTTATTCAGAATTGAGCGAGATCATCTGCATGGCATTGGTCATGTCTGCTATGCATGTGGCTATCACAGAGGTTTGTTTTTTTTCCCCATTCTCATAGTGTGCACCTCCCTTACAGCAGCAAAGCTCGGCCGTACTTGGTGGGGAAAAAGGCAAAATCAGGACAAAGACAGTTTTGTGTGTACCAGGCCCAAGTGAATCTACTCAGTCTACAATAAAGCCATATTTCCTTGCAAAAGGTTCCGTACAGATCATCAACGTACAGATAACTCTCACAGTTACTCTACAACGTCAATGGCTGGCCTACGTCTTACCACACTTAACACGCCAATAGTGTTCCCGTAAGTCATTGGCAGGTACGCCACTCACACTTGTCAGTTGAACTCGGTTTCCACCAATGGACTGAGCTCAGTTCATACCACCGATGTACGGGTAAATCCTGGAACGACTTCATACGGTTCCATCACTGACCAGGATGGATGTCAGTCGTGGCTGACAATGCCAGGAATTGGCCACACCTCCGCCTGGTGCATGCGGCATCATCGGCAGCCCCTCGGCAAGGTGACAAAAAGCCAACTGCTATTGCAGCATTTAGGGAAGGGGGGGGGGGGGGAGAGAGGCGAAGCATCAATTTTCTCTGGTGACGACCGAGGAGCTGCAGGAGCTCGCAGAGGTGAGGCGGCGGGCTCATTAGACAACACTTGTAATCCGGCTCATTTGATGCAAACACCAACACAAAAGCTTTGACAACTGCCTTGGAAGAAAAAAAAAAAAAATCTCATTTCGAGCCACCATTGACGCAGCGTGACATCAAACCACAGCGAGTGAAAGAGAGGAGCTGCCGAACGCCTCCTGCGCTGACCTACATGTCGCTTCTTTTCAATAACATCAGCCAACATTTGACACTTTTTAACATCCACCTCCACGATGGGATGAATCGCCGGGGTTATACACACATTTTTGCGGCGAGATCTCTTCTTCAAACCCGCGGGGCCCTCTCATGATGACATTTCATTGGCAGCGGCGGCTCGGAGGGGGCCATCATGTTTCACGGCGAGCACACGCGCGCGCGCACACGCAGACACCCACCCCAGGCAGGACCTCTTTTCTTCCCGTCGCAACCTTCTTTTTCTCCTCGGCCGCCATCATCGGATGTCAAAATTGGGAGAATGCAGTCGAAGCAAGCATCGGGTGAGATGAAACGGTGTGTCTATGTGTGTGTATAGTCCATGCAGCACAAAAGAAGTGAGATAGTAAGGTGAGTCCTTGACAGTTCGAAAAAATAAAAAGTGAAATTTATTTTTTGGAATTTATTTCCCCCAGGACTTATTTATTAAATTATTTTTTTCAAGTACTTGATAGGTGCTTGTATTGGGTCTCATTCGACTTCGCAAGTGCGGCACGGGGGTTAAGTGTTTAGCACATTTGCTGCACAGTTTTGAGGTTCAGTGCTGCTTGTTGGATTTCCAGTGTAAGGTGTGTTTGTTTTTGTTTTCATTTTCCGTCTCTGAAAATGGGCACCTGCTGGATCTTACACGCAATTGCATTGTAGGCAACATATACAATATTATTTTGGCATGTTTTTATTCAATGTCAGATTGTATTATTTTTATCTTTAATATAATAATAAGATACAGTCAATTAATAATGTGAACGTGTCATAAGGTGAAGACTGAAATTGCTGTGATTGTGAAGGTGATGTTGCTCATAGACTTATATATGTACCGAGTATCAAAAAAGATTATTCTATAGCAATTTTCATTTAAAAGAAACATTTTTCCACTGTTTTGGCAGTCAGCTGCTTCCTTTTTTTTCTTCAGCAAAACACTCTCTTACAAGGCATTGATGAGGCTGGCGTGCCGACTCTGCTTAACATTTTGTCTGCAAAACCATTTTGTTTGGCAAAAGATGACGCCTCATGATACAATTCTGAATGAAATAAAAAGTGTTATCCAGAGCAGTTTATTTCATTGTCAAAGCTAGCACCGGGACGTCGTAAAATCTCCGTACACTTGTGTTTATTCTCAATGTATTTGGGACTTCTTTTCCATGCTTCAAGATTTGGACAGAGGTACAAGCCATCGACAGATGGGCTTCCTTATAAAGTTCGATTGCTCGATTATTCGATGCAAGGGTTCAGTTCCCCTTTAATATTATCACCATCAAAGATGATCATTTTGGATCTTCTTTTTTCTCGCGCATTCTGTCTTGGCTATCAAATCTATAAAAACAGAGGTTCATATCTACGGCAAA